GCCAACTCTTTCCTTTGGCCCATCTTAGAGCATTTTGCTCGTGAGGATGGTCACGGCTGGCCATTGCAAGGACTGGAAACAGTCCTCTTCCACAACTGCTGTCATGGAGGTCCGAGGCCGACCCAGAGGAGAGTTGTTGCGACGACGGCTTTACTGACCAAACTTGCTGCACGATGTCAAGGTGGTCACCACCATGAGCCCTGGGGCTTCTCTCACCACGCGAGGCCTGCATATCCACCGTTGCTAGCTACACGCTGGGCTGATTGCTTGACATCCCGTGCAGCTGCATGCCGCCTGTCATTGCAGCCTGCAGCCGATCTTCATGCAGTATCGTTGGCGGCCACTGCTCGCCAAAGTCGCAAATTCCAACCACTGCTGCCGGAATTTCGTGAAATCTGATACATGCCATCATATTTTCAGCCGGATAAATCATGCAAGGTGCTTCTTTCGCATGTTATGTCGGGGGAGAGAGAAAGTGCGAAAGTGCCCAAAGCTAGGTCAAGATCGCCCCCAAGCAACTTGACTAGGATGTCCGAGCATGACTTGCCTTCGACATCTGAGGCTGCTGCCTGTCCCGACCTCACGTCTGGTGCTGAGAGCAGTTCAGCGGCCATCGGTTCGCCACATAGTGAGGGTGCTGTTAGGGTAGGGTTTTGGTTCTCGCCCAAAGAACACATGGAACGTGCTAAACAGCTTGCTCACCCGATGGATTCGGCTAACCCTATCGCTCCAGAGACCTTGGAGGTCTTGGACGAATACATGAAGGCGAGCCCCTCTGAACTGGCGCTAAAGAGGAGGCTGGCTCTGCTGAAAGTGAAGCTTCTTGTTCGATCTTTGGAAAAGGAGGAACAGGAATTGCATGCCTCGTTCCCGTCGTGGTATCAAAAAGTTGTGGCCCCCAAGAAAATCCTTGCTTGGAAAAAGTTGCTTGAAGAGTTCAAATACGATGATCTTGATGCAACGAAGTTCATGATGGAAGGGTGTCCACTAGTCGGTACGTCCGACCTCCCCAAGCCTTTTGATGCAAAAATCGTGCCTGCTACTTTGTCTGAACAAGAGCTTCGCGCCACCGCCAAGGCCCGCAGGCAAACCTTGGTTCAGACAGGGAGGCCAGGCGATGCTGAGCATGTTGAGCATCTTGTACGATCGACTTTGGACGAAGTGGACCGGGGCTTCCTGGACGGACCGTTCACGGAATCCGAAGTTTCTGAACGTCTCAGGCATGCCGATTGGACGGCAGTGCGAAGGTTCGTGCTTGTGCAAGGTGCCGAGATGAAGCTTCGTCCGATCGATGATTGTGCGGAGGCGCAGCTGAATGATGCATACACATCTACGATTAAGCTTCGTATGATGGACTCAGACTACATTTCAGCCCTTGCTCTGAAGATTGCCCACCTTGAAGCAGAGCGTGCCGCCCGACTAGGAGTCGAACCTAGATCATGGGTCGGAAAAACCCTAGATCTAACTAAGGCGTATAAACAACTCCCGTTGCTCCCCGCTCACCGGGATTTGTGTGTGATTTGCATCATTAGTGGCCAAGGCAAAACCCAATTCTTCATTGGGAATGCTTTAGTTTTTGGTGCAACATCCGCTGTCTTCTCCTTTAATAGGGTCGCTAGAAGCTTATGGTTCTTAGTCAC